ATACCTCAGAAGACACAGAAATTCAATCACATGAACTCATCAAACCAACTACACAAAAAGGCCAGCTGAACATTTCCAGAAGGAACACTGCTTTGTCCAGCACAAYGCTCAGTGTTTGATAAATACAGAGGATGGATGTGGTCCAATTTCCTATGACAGGCTACCCAATGGGCAGCCAATCCAATACATTATCCAGGGACCATGTGGCTATGTACAAGGARCAGGTGAAAAAGTCTTAAAAATTCACACAAATGCTCAGCATCAAATGTTGCATGTGGTGGAAGAGGGTCACAAAATGCACAGTTTGCCAGGATTACTGTAATCACCTGCTTTCAAAAACTATTTATGCTCAATTCAATAAAAGCAGTTCAAATGCCAAAGAACTAGGACCTGTTATTACAAGGTTGGGAAAAGTAAAACACAGTAGAATTGCTGAATGAGCACATTCTTTCTTGGCGCTGCTGCRGGAGCTGTACAAGAAGAGGATCTGACTTGGTTTTCTGCTTGAGCTACACCAGTTTCCAGAACCAGTTTCCAGAACCTGCTCTCCTGCACACCTACACCACTCGAAGCTCCAGGAAGCGCTGTCTGACGGCTTTGGAGGCAAGAACACGAGAAGCCACTTGCTCCTTTCAGCCCTGACAGCCTGGTGTGCCCAGACAGGAACACCTCTGGAGGAAGGAAGGCACTGGGAAGCTGCRTGCCATGAGAGCTGGCAGGCACCACTCGAGGGCTGAGGGCACTGCTGCAGGCAGAGACAGCAGCACTCACCAAATGTGGGGGACAAAATGTCTTTGCTCCCTCACCAGACCCACCRCTCCTTCCCACTGTGCCCCCTCACTGCTCATCAGAGCAACCACAGACTTACAAACTCTGCATAAATGAGTTTTATTATTTGGASTGCTACCTTTCTAGTTTTTCAATTAAGAAACACATCTACCAAACCACCTCGGCCTTTTCTTGTGTTTAATTTATTTAATAACTATGTCCAAGAGTAAACTAGAAAGAACTATAAAAGCAACTTTCCCCAGAGGCCAAGTCTATCACTCTGCCCGGCTCACACTGTTCTAACATTGTCACTTTTTTAATTGAATGCTGCATTAATTAGCTTCAGCAAAAAAAGTTTGTGAAATGCCCAGGGCCTGGGGCACTCTCATTCCTATAAACTTCAGAGCTGGATTCTCTGTGATCCAATAAGCAATTTCCTTCATCTTTTAATGCCCTCGTGAATGGTTTATTGAGGCAGCCTTTTACAACAAAACCTCTCRTAAAGCGCAGAGGCTGCACCAAGGCACAGCACTCGGGCACAGCCTCCATTSATCACAAAGCAACACTGCAGCAGCTGCCTCCTTTCAGTCACTAGCCTCTTCCCMTCGTCTGATGCAGAAAAACAAAAATAAGGCCTCATCTCCCAAGATTACCATGTCTTTCCATTTTTCAGATACACAAGGAAGAAAACACAAATATCTAGCAAGGAGAAAAAAAGAAAGTGGAAAACTGTAACAGTTTAATCCTTTAAAATTGTATGTACTAATTTCTTCCTCTGCCAAGAATTTGGTATCTCCTAAAAACAGTAATACAAATTAAATGGCTGAGGGGGTTTTGCTGTCTGTGTTGTTTGGTTGTTTTCTTTAATCTGAGGGATCTTGTCTGATGCCAACACAGAAAATAATTTAAAATGCTGTAACGAAGCATTCTAACCAGAAAACAAAATGAATTGATTGCTGAGGAGTAAAATGCCTTTCCAACACCCTGAAAAGTATCTCAGCAATTCAACTGTCCTGGGAGCTTCAAGCTACAAAGCTGAGTCACTGTTGCTGTGACAAGAAGACAGAGGAAGGTTTAAGAAAACAAATTCCTATTTCTTCCCCTGATCCTTCTCACATCTCATGCAGGGGCCATGAGAGCCAACCCAGGGAGAGCATCACCGCCACCACCAAGCCTGGAGAGAAGGCAAAGAGAAGGGCTCCAGAACACCATGAATGTCAAAGACATTAAWGCAAACACAAATATGAGCTGAAACCAGAGATTTCACAACAGCCATAGGTGGGAAGGAGGGGCTCCTATTAAGTGGAGTATGAAAATGCCACGCCCCTGGGTGAAGGATTTCCATGACGGTTTTATGYGAGTAATGGCAAAACTCGCATTGTGATTTCTTCTGCATGTCTCTCTAACAGGTTTGCTAATAAGCCTTCACTTTGCTCTGTACGGAAACAAATGCTGCTTTCAGTCAGCACCAGCACAGATTTTTAAAATCTTTTTGGAGCTAAAACTGGGGAAAGAAGAGTGAAAATTTTGCATCAGATCCTTCTTTCATGTCAGCAGTTTATTTCACACACTTAGAAATGACAGCATTCTGATCATCAGGTAGAAAGGCCACTCATTTATGAGTAAAGCAAGCAAGCACAGCACCCTTCAGCACACACTTAAAAGCACAGCAGGCCTCACAGCCTGGGAAGAACAGAGACTGAAAATAATTTGGGAGTCCTGGCAGAAAGTCAGCTAAACACAAAAGAGATTTACTCCAACCTTGACATGGGATATGGCAGTAACCGCTCCAGAAAGACTGGATGTCTCTTGCTAAAAACAGCTCAAGCATGTGCTGACTGCAGAAATTATRGTGAGAAAGCCTAAATGTACAGCCTCTTTGTAGTCTGAAGAACAGCCTTTATGGCCTAAACTGGACTACAGTCATATGATTATGGTGTCCTCCCTCCAGCCCTCTAGCTATTGACCTGGGCATTTTTCAGAGACATGGGATTGTTTGTTTTTTTGGGTTTTTTTTTTGTTTGTTTGTTTTTAATGTGTATTGTTTTTAATTTTTTATTAGAATTAACATTGTGCTTTAGAAAGAAACCATCACAATCCCATCATCTGTGGAAACTGTAACATGAGTTTACGGTTTTGAAATCTGATTAGCAGGTTCTGCTAATCAAATTTTTAGTTTTCCCAGAAACATATTATTAGGTAAAGAACATTCCCCCAGCCACACACACAGGATTAAAAGGCTTGTTTCATCAAATGCCATGAAGCACCTTCTGCTTACAACTCGTGCCAGCACCACCTTCCCTCAGTCTTTTAAGCCCAGTGATGAACTACAGCCGTTTTACATCTTGTGGGCTATTCTGGTGCATCAAGCTTGATGCATAATTTCTGTGTCTTGAGGCTTGCTCTAAGTGACATAAYCAGTATCAATGCATCAGTCCTCCCACAGGGCTCTCCCCTGAGTGCTGTGAAAATGAAGCTTCATTCCTCTCTCTGCACTCAGGCTGACCAGGTGTCCTGCAGGGTGCTCCACAGCAGGGATCTCTCCACAAATCCCCCAGAGATTTGCTTCTCCCTGCCTTCTCCCCAGCCCAACACCAGTGACAGCAGCTCCCAGTCTCTGCACTACAGAGAATGTGGGGATTTTTGTGGATGGGATCAGAACAGGCAAGCCCCAGTATCTGGGAAGCTGCTGCTACCACAATGGACAACCCAAGGCRTTCTCTGGGTGCTGCAGCTGCTTTGGTGGGTGGGCAGAGCCCCAGCCCATGGGCTCAGTGATGCTCTTCTCCAACAGCATCTGTGCTCTGGACACAAGTATTTCCATCGTCAGACTCAGACAGGGTCTGATGCTGCCACTACTGCCAATGCTGTTTTGGAGACAGAGCAGAAAATTTGGGACCTCTCAGCCTTTTGGGGTAAAGGCCCAGTACCTAGCAGATTTAAACTGGTTACACCAGCTGCGCTTTGCTTAGTTGCTTCTTTTTATTTTCTAAGGCCGATTGGGATATTTGTCACAAATCCCAATCTTGCTTTTTGAGTAATTTTGTATCTACTGAACTTTAAAGTGGGACTTGAACTAGAAAAGAAGAAAAAGGCATTCCCCCACTAAGTTTGTGGTTGTTCATGCAGCAGTCAGGGTAAGATGTATCAAGTTTTTCATTTAGGCATCATTAAGCACAGGATATTAAGCACAGAAAAGCCACTTCACTATTCACAAAAGCTGCTGTCATTAGTTTCTCTCAAAAGACATTGCTTTTCAAAGGTGGGACTGAGGCCAGAGTCTCCAAGAAAAAAAATTTGAGCTGACAAATCATAACAGGCTGCAAAAGAAAACTGAAGCAAGCTTTTAAAGCCCAARTAGTGAGGTCATGCAGTCCCTAAATAGCTTAATAAGTCATTCTGGGCTATCTGGCTTCATTTCCTTGTGATGGAARTTCAGATTGGAAAGGGAAGAACAGCATATTCCTTCACTGGGCACAGACACTCAATGCTATATTTCTCTCAAAGCATGGCTAMGCAGTTCAACACAACTCAAAATTGCACTGTGAGTTGCAGTGCCAAGTCCTACTCCAGAGCAGGAGACTGCCAAATAAAATACAGTGAAAGGGTCAGCATTCCTTTGTAAATGGATGTACTTGATATGTGGAGGACTAAGTGTCCATGTGACTGTTAGTGCTGAGCAAAGTCTGGCATTGTGGATGAAAATACTGTTTGCATTTCAATTTGCCCTTTCCAAATGTAGCAGCATTTCTGGTGATGCTAGTTTTGACGTGCAGCACTACTTCACTCAACAAGAGATTTGCAAGAAGCAGGAATGAGAAAGCAGAACATTACTTTAAATGTCACTAGAAAATGAAAATAAAATCTGTGTCTGCAAGGATAATTGGGCAAAGATATCCAGGGAGCCTCTCACAAGGAGATAAAGGGGGGCAGAGCCCAGTGCGTCTTGTTATAACAATGATGCCTCCCAGCTTTTCCAGACATCCCGCAAGAGCCAGGCAGATAAGGACAAAGCCACCAGGCTGCCTGGCCATGMTAACCATGATAACTGCTGCCACAGCACCCCATCAGCTCCCCTCAGCTGGCTGAGCGTGCACCCCAATGCCACCCACCAACAGCACCATCAGCCCTGCCAAACAGAAGGGGCAGAGCCAGCCTCATTACCTTGTATATACACTTGTGTAAGTCGCTAAGAACTCCCTCCTCCTCCTCCTCRTCCTCCTTCGTGGTCTCCTTTTCCTGAGCAAAGAGCCGCCGCCTGCCYGTCTTCAGTGGGACGTCGACCTCTTTTAACTTGTTGCGGAAGCCATTTTTGTGAACCACGCCATTGATGAGTCCATTTTTGGGCTCAAACCGGGGCAAGGAATGGAACTTGTAGGCATTCTCTGAATGTCCCTCCAAAGGTCCTTTCCTCTTCTCCAGGATTTCCTTTTCCAGCAAGACCTCCTTCTCCAGTTTCTTGTGCTCCTCAGGGGAGAGGGAGTCGTAGGAGAGCAAGTACTGGCAGTAGGCTTCTTGCAGCTTGGCCAGCCTGTCCTGTGCAGTTTTGGGGATGCGCAGCATRTCTGCCAGCTTGTTCCATTTCTTGAGGTCAGTCACTTGCTGCATCCCCCCCATCTCGTTGATCAGCTGGACGAAGCAGGCCAGGTCGAGCTCGCAGCCTCCTGGGGTCCACACGTGCCGGGCAGCAGAGGAAGGGAAAGGCAAACACAGGAGCAGATTAGGAAAGCTGCAGTCAGCTCGAGTTGTATGTGCTACCAGGCTGGGCACACAAGGGACATGACAGCTCCAGTCACCTGGGCACTGGAGCAGATTTGTCCCTCTCTTCTATGCCTCCTGCTGAAGAGAGGCACACTCCCCTGTTTTGCCAAGTTATTTCATTCMCAGGCTGTATTTTGCTACTTTCAACAACATTCCCTATGATTCAGTTTGCTATCATCCTCAAGTTTAATTCCCTTCTCTTCTCAGAGCACCCCAGKCTATGTCCTTGACACACATCTGTCCCTTCATCATTACCCAGTGGCTGGGGAGATGAGAGCTGCCCAGCTCTGTTGAAGCCCACACACTCTAACCCACCACCAGTCCCACATCTGGATCATACCAGGAATAAACAAAAGCAGTGTCTGCTGGAGTATTGGCCATCAGAAAGACAAACACTTATCATTTCTGGAAGCAAAATATAAATGATTTAATATTTGCACAACACCTTGAATGAAGTCAGTATTTAAAAAGGAGCACAGTAACATTATTAWTTTCCTACAGGTAATAAAATCCTGATAAAAACCAAAGGGAGGCAGTGGATCGTTTGGGGTTGGAGACTGCAACTGCATAAGAAGTTCCAGACATATTATTCTTCCAGTCTGAGGCCATCCATATTTTATACTCCATTCTGGTTTTGTACATTTTAAGATGACTAGCACATTTCACACTCCAGTCAAAGGAAAAGGAGAAGGGAATAAAAAAAAGGATTATACAAACTGCAGCATAAAAAGCAGCCAAATGGACGAGGAACAATAAAAGAAACATCATAAATACTCTCAAAGCACAGAAATAAATCATCAGTGTAAAAAGTGAAGAAATGGCCTGAAGACCACCTACAATTCAACAGGRCGCTGTTCAAGGAAAAAAGAGAATTAATACAAAACCAGCGTCAACATCTCTGCCGCCACACTGTCTCCCCTTTGCCTTTTTCTTGAAGGAAAGTAAAGAACCATTATGCCACAGCCATTTCAGAGCACTCAGAAATGCTATTGCAACAGAGGAGGGCAAGATGCAGCATTATAGTAAATATTTACTGTAGGATGCATGGCTACATCATCCTAAGTCATATCATCTTGCCTGCTAGCACAAGCTGGTTACTTTTTCAAACTACCCTCTGCTACATCTCTGAGATGCTTCATTGCTGATTCCAGTTTTCCTTCTTCCCTCTGCTTTTCCCTCTTCCACCACTTGTGCYAATCCAGTGAGGAGGGAGGCTTAGCAGTGTAAACCTGTGTGCAACTTTTTGGGACAATGGTCGAGASTGAGGCAGAGCAGCACCAGAGGCTGCTCACATTTATACTGCCCACAGAGCACAGGGCAAAAGGGTTTGGCTGCAGCCAAAACCAAGGATAAGGCTTTCAGTAGCATATGATAAGGGTGGAGGCAGACCATGAAGCAGCAGATTTTTCCTATTTAGTACATTTAAGAGTGGAGTGGGGGAGATTTTAAACAGGTCCTGAAGCTGAGAAAAGGTAAATGCCTTCTGGGGAAAAGCCCAAAATTAGTTTGGGAAGTTTTCTTTCCTTCTTTCCTCTTTAATCTTCCATACATACTATAAACACAACTTTCAAGATGGCCTCTGTTACTTTTTTGGTCAGTGGTTCCTACTTGCAGGTCACAAATAATCTGAARGTGTAGCTTTCCATGCCAACAGACTCAGCAATCTACAAAAAGCTGGGTCACATACTCCTAATTTGCAAAGTGTGGCCCAGATTTCCCAGATATGTGCACTTCAGTGGGACAAACAGCACACACCCAGTTGAGGGTCCTGGTTTCAGCACTGCTGAAAATTTAATTTACTCCCGCATCATGGAACAATCACTCACAATCACACTGCAATATTAGAGCTCGAGTAGCACTTCATTCAACCAGAGCCTACAGCTAAGGTTTGCAAAATGCTCTCAATTATAATTCCATTTCACACAGTCATAACTTTTGGAAATATCTCAGACTGATGTTTTCCAGGATCAACCTAAGCTTGCTGCTTAAGCTTTCCTTGAAAGACTGAAAGGAAAAAAAAAAAAAGAAGAAGGAAAAAAAATCCAACAACAACAAAAAAGGAGTTCTAAACTCTTAAAAAGCACATGCAGCAAAATGACTTAAATAGGATCTGGCATGTTATGTAAAAACAATGTCTAGCTTCTTTTTTTTTTTAAATTGCCTTAATTTCCTAAGTTAGGAATACTTTTGAATTGCCTAGTGAGCAAGCTCATTTTAAAAAATAAAATCTTAAATCTTCAGGTATGCATTTAATACCAAATGCTGGCACTACACAAGCCATTGGCAGAAGTCCCACTAACTTCAATGAAAATGTGATTTGGCCCTGAGTGAAGGGCTATGTATGCATGTCTACTTAAATAAACGTGCATTTATCACCACCGATTATTTTATATGCTTCCTGCTAGAACCAACACACTTTTCCTCTTTGCACACTGATGATCTCCAGCTTCATTTCTCCATTTTGCTTTTGATTTTAAACACAGGACAGGTAGGAAATTAACTGCAGAAAGGATACGTAGAATGCAAATTTGTAAGAGACCACAGTTTGCTCTGGTTTTATGGCACCCAGAATAGAATCTTGCCTATTCATTAGGYTCTTAGGTGCTTAAATAATACAAATAATTAACAGTAATGCCATCTTAATGCCAAGTTAAGGTATTTCATTAAAAAGTTAACACTGTTCCAGGAGCGTTAATCGAGCTGTCTTGCACATTTTCTTCTCTCTTGCCAATGTAAATTTAATTAATTATTCTTCTCTATTAGCATACAACCATTGCATACATTAGGCACACGRAATGTTCACTTATTGCTGCTTGAGTGATTTTAATTTTCAGATTTCCTTGAATGTTTTTGCACAGCTTTTGCAACAAAGCGCTAACCCCTCGTTCCTCCTTCTTAAAATTTTGTTATTTCTCTCCTGTACCCTGCATCAGTTCACCATAAAGTGTGCAATCATTTTGTGTGCTTTTATGCATTTTCCCTCAGTTACCATATGTGATATAAAATAAAGTTTCAAAAGGAGGAGGCAGGGGGAGGAAGTGTTGTGAATTGGTTAAACAGAAAAGAGTGTCCTTTAATCCAAACAGTGTTGAGAGCTGCCTCAGGTCAGATAATGCCTCAGAGGCAAAACTCTAGCCTCAAGTTGCAACATGCAGGTTCTGCGAGCTCTTGACTCAAAACACTTCAAAAACAAAGGGAAGAACTAACAAAAATTGGAAACACAGGTTTTCTTACTATGTAGTGGCTGTAAAGGCAGTAGAGACGGAGGTAGCTCACTCAACAGTTCATTTGTATGCTGCTGTTGTCATGTTTTTACAAACTATTGTCACATTTTTGTCACGTGTCATATCTGACAACAGACCATAAACCAAGAATTCTGTTAAATAAATGATTCTCACTCAGGCATTAKCCCTGGCAGACACCTGCTGGGAGAAATAATGAAACCTCCATTTTGCAATCAACTACATTTTACTGCCTATTCTTGACACTTAATGGTTGTTAAATGTCAGCAGGTCACTGCAAATTTGTGATTTTAAGTGTCTGAGTACCCAAACACAAGTCAGTTCTGAGATATTTTCTTTCCCCTTTGGTTAAATGTTTTTAAAGGAAGAAGGGGCGGGGGGGAATGTATTAAAACTTGACAGCATTGCAACCTGTTACRAAGATATCTTTGGAAAGGTCCGAAAAATATTCTGAGGCAGCCTTTAAAACGAGGCCATCAATATCCACAGTTGTACTACCTACAAAAATAAACAGGAGGGAAAGAAGGAGATTCTGAAATCTGCAGACCTAGATCCCAAAAAGCATTTTTTCTCCTGGGTGAAATAGGAAGGAAAATGGCAATATAAAGTCGCCCTGGAAAACTCTCTGAAAATTTACCTGCACGGTGCCTGACCAATGGAAAAGGAGAGGGATGCAGAGCTCTGCAGCATTAATTGAACAGGGTTTGGTTAAGCATAAAGGCAAACGGAGCACAGAGTCGTACACGGGCACACAGAAGCAAAGGACACGGAACCACAGCCCTTACCTATGAGTGGGAGTTCATCCATGGTAATGCCCTGAGATTTGAGGTGCTTCTTGATACAGGCCAGCCGCTGCACGTTGGGTCCCCAGCGCCTGCCTAGCTTGTGTATGTGCTGAATCTGTGTCACAAACCGCATTTCGTCATTTAGCTTGCACTCAGGTCTCCAGTCTGGAGGAGGAATCACCCTGCACATCCCATACTTCTCTACCTGAGCTCGGACTGACTCAATGTATATCAGCGGGTCGTGAAATTCCTTGGTGGAGGGCCTAAGGATGGGAATCTCCCCCAGCATCCCCCACCCAGATTTACTACTGCCCTTTTCGTGCTTTCCCATTGAGTCTTGTGGCTTGTGCAAGGACTCCGCTTGAGAGGTAGAACGATTTTCACAGGAGGCATTTTCAGTTTTGCCATGTGCTTGTTTCCCTGGCGTACTCTTTCCAGCAGTGGCTCTTTTCGGCCTATTTCTTTCCAAACTCTTCTCTGGCACTTCCTTTCTAAGGTGTCCATTCAGCAAAGGCTTTTCTACTGCTGCCTTTTTGCTGGCAGCTTCTGCCAAGTTGACAGCCCCTCTCATTCTCTTTGTGGGCGAYTGTATTTTGTCTACGTGATTCGTCACTTCCAGCCTCCTCTTGGAATTGCGCAGCCCCTCCCTCAACTGTCTCCCCACCTCCTTAGTGCATGTCTTTTGGTTAAACTTGCCATTGACTTTTACACCATTAACAGCGGTATTGTTAGACTTGGATGCTCCAAGGGATAGCACCTGTTTGCGGGTTTTTGCATTGCTACTTTCTAGTTTCCCTGAGATTGTGTGGTTGACAGGTGAACTGGATTTGTGGTGATTTAGTTTGGTTTCCTTGACCAGTTCTTTCTTGGCTTTGGTGTATGTGACAGTTCCCTTTGTCACTGTTGCAGTGTACTTCACAGTTTTGGACGGTGAAGGTCTGACTTCTCTCATCTTTTTGGCACTGGCTGCATTTGCACTCGGAGATGATATTCGAGTGACTCCGTTGACTTTAGAAACCTGAAATGCCAGAAGTGTTGCAGAAGGAGAAGAAGGAAGGAAACAGAAAACAGAAAATTAAATTAATRATGTGACCACTCAGCCCCAATGTCCCACTTGCTGGACAACCACATTCCACAGTCCTGACTCCTGGACCCGTCGTACAATCCTCACATAATCATTTGCACACAGGCAAGAGGGGACTAGGTATTTATAATAATCAAATGAAACAGAAATTTGGGTGTTTTGTCTTTTTTTTAAAAAAAATTGACCAGAAAGCCCCCAGTCTTGCTTTCAGAGGGTAAACAGTCTCTGGCATTGGAAAGGGTGGGGTGTTTTGTTTGCACTACCCCCTTCTTTCTTGTCTACCAAAACACAGATACACTGATTAACAAACTAAARTCCTTCATTAACTCTTTTTCTGGCCCTCAAGACACTCTCTTTCTCCCACCCGACTTCCTTCAGGTGCACACACATTTCGCTACTTAGCAGACAAAGCAGGCAACATATACTGTCTATTCTAACTGGAACCTGCACGTTTTGCAAAAAGCACACACAGAGATTCAAATCAATTTACCATCTATCTGTGCACACATAAAAAAAGAGATGTGGATCACATTATGCACCCAACAGATCAGCATGGCCATGAAGGAACCAATCTGTCATACACAWTAAATGTTGGGCAGCACATTGCTGCTGAAGTCAATAATTTGAAATTTTAAAAATGTATATAGTAGTCCAATGTATTTATTTTTAAGTTTGGTATCTGGGCAGTTTTGCTGACATTTATTCTATTAGATCATATTGTGTCAATGCAGCTTAGAATTGCTGGACTCTGCTGCTTTCTGTTAGATATTTAAATCCAGTCATGAGACTAGAATTAGTATTTTAACTACAGGGAGTGTTAAAGACCAGAAGCAATCCTCAGCTACAAAGGGAATTGAGACAGCTCAGCATCACCAAAGCTAAACCCCTCTACTAAAAAACTGAAGTTCAAGTTCAAACCTCAAACAAATTTCAGCATTTACACAACTTTAAACATTGACTTCTCACCTCCTTAAATAACTGTGAGTGCAGAAAAACACATCCAGAAGTCAGGAACATTGAAAAAAGTGAAAGCATACATTACAATAGCCCCTTATCAGCACTCAGGTGAGTAACACCATTTCCTGYAGAGTTGTAATACTTTCTCCAGTGGGATTTCAAAATCCTTGCCAAATCTGCAAGCATGGCAGCTTCTCTCAAATAAATGCAAGAACTGCAGTCACTTATATAACAGGGATRATATAAAACGGGTACCAAACAAAGACTGAAAATACTGTGCTATGGTCTTGCACTAAGTGATTTGTGAAGAGGAACTGGAACATGGAGATTCTGCACACTCACACCTACACATGTGTGTTTGTGTGTGTTCATGCACATTTTCTCCTCTGGGCTCCAGAAGCGGCAGCAGGAGTAATGTCCTTTAAAAAAAAAAATCTACATTCTTGTCCTTCCTGCGCTTGCAAGGTAGAAACACTTAAGGAAAACCCAGTTAACTGATGACATGAGTTTTTACCTTGAGCATTTCAAAGATGTATGAGGTATCATCTGGAAAGCAAACACTTGCAAACAGAAATGCATTTGCCCATTTCCCTTGAAATTTAAGCAGTACTCTATGTTTGAAATGGAGGCCTGGGTTTGACTTTTACAGAACTTTTTCATGTTGCAGAAGAGACACAGATAAGAGTGCTGCTGAGACATTGCCTYTTGCCTGCAGCAGTCACAACAAGCATTGAACATTCCTGGCTTTATAAATAGCCAGGAACATTGATTACAGATCTAGACTAATAGTGAAGAATTGATTGAGAACTGGAAGGGGAAGGTAATCCGGGTGACTGTGATCATGAAATGAGTTTTCATTTCTAAGATGTGACAACAGTTGAGAAAGGATAACCAACTCAAAAAAGAACCCCAAAACCAGAAACAATAAAAACAAAAGCAACAACAACAAACAAACAAAACTCCCCCCCCCACAAAACAACCAAAACAAAAAACAGTAAAAAAAAACCAAACCAACAAACGAACAAAAAAAACCCAAAAAAACAAAACAAACAAGCAATCAAAAAACAACCATAAAAACAAAAGAAAAGGAAGATCCACCTGAAAACATCCAAACCAAGGCAATTTGCACTCAGAAGAAAGGCACAAAGCACAGGCCATTATACCTGTTCCCAAAATTCTTTAACGATTGGAAAATTAGAAAATAATCAGAGTAAAAAGTGGTAATACAATTACGTGACTAAGGGCAACTACACTGGAAAATAAAAAAACACACATTGTGTTTATTTACTGTCAGAAAGGCCAAGGAGCTAAAGAAACGTCAGTTAGCAAGAAACTAAAACAGAAAAAAGAATTGTACAAACCTTAAAAATACAAGATAATAGCAGAAGAGCTAAAACACCACACAAGGAAAGAAAACAAATGTCTGACTTAAGTGTCCCTGTTTCTTGCATTAACCTTCACTAGAAGTGGCACTGACTGAATAGTTACCAGGTATAGAACATAATCCATTTAACAAAAAGGCTAGGAAAGCAACCAGAGTGAGCTAGAAGGTACCTAGATGACTTAGGGCATGGCTCCTGGAAATAACCTGGGGGCCGACAGAGAGTCTACCTAATTTCAAACCCTAAAATAATTCTGGAACAAATCATCAAACAGCTAACTTGCAAACACACAAATGAAAATAAAATAATGTTAAAAACAAAACAGTTTTGCCAGAATAGCAAATCAAGCAAATTTGGCCATCTTCTGACAGACACCTGGCTGAGCAGGTAAAGAAGTACCTCTGCTTCAGCAGGATTCCAGTCACTMTCCCCTGACACATTCCATCAAACAAACTCCTGAGACACATCCCAGACATAATTACTCTAAAGTGGCCTCACAAGGGACTAAATAAAGTAATCCTCAAGAAACGTTTTCATTGTCATAGTTCTCTATTGTCCTGGGAGGGYATTTCACGTGTCTTTCTGCAGGGACTTGGCTTAGGCTTGGTTCTACCAAGTATTTTCATTATTGTACAATTTGACAGTGAAACACACCTGGAAGGGGCTGTAATCACTCAACGACAAGATTAAAATCAAAGTCAATCCTGAGGAACCTATATCAGAACATTTCTACAGTAAKAGGAAGTGCTATTTTTAGGAAGCACAAATCATTCATATGTAGGGGAAGAATAACATTTGGGGAGCATAGGGAGATGAAAAACTCTATAACAGTCTCCTGATGCATAAAGAGCTGCKTTGGAAAGAGACAGTAAATGCTCTTTCCATGTTCACTGAGAAAAGTGGGAGAAAAAATCCCTTTAAATGTCTACAATGATCTGAGGCACAACTAGGAAAACTTGCTCATCAGTACAAACGGGAAACACCAGAAGAAGCTGCCAACTGACACTGTGGAGTCTCCTCTACAGAGGTTTTCAGAAGGTTTCAGGAGGCTGGAGCTGTATCAGTGGATAATCAAGAAAAAGCCTCAATGTGAGCAGTCAGGGGGCATGGAGGCACCTTGTCACTCTGCTCTAAGGAAGCTGTGACCAGAAGTGTCAAGGGCCACCTGGGGCACCCCTTCAGCAASGACTGGTGACACAGGGGCTACAACAAAACACAGGAAAGTGCTTGTGGAAAAAAGCAATATTCTCACAGCATCTCTTATTCAAAGGAAAACATATCATCAACACCATCACATTTAAGACAGATCCCTCTTTTCTCTCTTTTACTGAACTCCTGCTCTGCAGTAAAACACAGTATGATAACTTTTAAGTTTTAGTCTTTTAAAAGACAAATGGGACCAGCACAGTCTTGCAGCAATTGGTTTGGTAGATTTGAACAAGTCTACATACACACCTCTGCATAGCACTGAGGATTCAGCCTCCAGARACATACACAACAAATAAACAACCTGCTTGATAGCAACCACAGTGATAAGAGCAACATTAGCAACACTGACAAAAGATTTGGTCCCAAACCAATYCAAGTTATGCAACTGATCTTGAATTCATTCATTAAAATAGTTCTGYGCTGACATAGTTCAACAGAAGTAAATTACCATATTAGGCCAAGAGAGGGCCCCATTGAACTACATTTCATTTGCTCACAACCCTTTTAGGATTTTGGAATATAGCAAAGGAGAAAGAGAAAGAAGCAAGGTACCAGTGACAAGTACAAGGGCACATCAGAAGAAGAAAAACAGAAAGAGATTTAAAAAAGAAAATCTCTGGTAATTTCTAGTGTTCTGCCTTTATTTTCTCTAAGACTTAACAAAACAAAATCACACATAAAAAACCATGCAAATGCAGTGATCAAGGAGCAAAAATATAGTGGATGGAGGAGGAAAATGTGGCTGRCACCCTGGGAAAATATATCTATTTTAGAAAATATTGAAAAAGTCAAAGACTCAGGACAACAGCAGGAAATTTGGAAATGTCCCATAACTGGTAAGTCTAAGGTTTTGGACAAAGCTAAGTCTTTCTGTCAGGCAAAATGCATAATCCACCTTTAATTAGTTGAAGCCACATTTTCATTAAAATTGGTAAGAAAGTACTTGCACTGCTGTGGGTTGCAGAAGAAAACTTAGGTACTTAATAATCTTTTATTGAAAAAAAAAAAAAAAAGAAAACCTACATCATCTCAACTTAACCTTCCCTTATTTTCTGAAGCCCGGAGACCACCCTTGGTGAGGTGTCCATATGGTGTGACTGCTGGTTGTACTGCAGTGCTTTAAATTTTTTCTCCATTGCATTCCACACAATTGAAAACATTTTATATTCTATGAAGCAAAACTACTTGGACTGTAGACAAAATTGTTCTACACTTGCCTTTTTCCTTTCAGAACTACCTTCAGAAGTGACAGCTGTTGACTTTCACAACAGTTTTAATCAATCAAACTGTGACGATACAACTTTAAAGCAATTCACACAAGTGTTCGAGTAAGTCAAAAGAATTAAGAGGTGCATCYTTACATTTTGGGAAACTTGTTCAACACTTATTGAAGAGCTCATAACAGAGCAAGGACCACAGGATGCTGGTGATCACAAGACAGAATTCCAAAATGATGCAAAAGAAGGCAGACATTCACACTGATGCCTTGATAAGGGCAATTTGCCGTGGAGGAATAAAGAACTGAAGTCTTACAGAGGTACAGGCAAATAAACTGTAAATAGCCTTCAGTATCTCAGATTTGATTTAGAAGGTAATAAAATCCGATGGAGACACTTCAGGCACCACCACTGAAACACACAGCACTAAAGATTTCCTCAGCAAGAGTATCACTGCTTTTCTTTTTGCTAKTTTTCATTTCTAAGCCTGGGACTGAGAGGTGCCATTCAAAGGCCTTAGCAGCCCTTACAAGATGGAAATTCCACCTCCACTCAAGACCAGGTCAGCCTACTTCAAAGAAAAACCTTTAGATGTCAGCAAGCAAAGGTTATCCCTAATGAGGCTCTTGAGAATTAACCACTGCAAAACAACCAACCAACAACATCAACAACAACAACAACAACAAAGACAACAACAGCAACAAAAGCACCAACCACCAACCCAAAAAAATATCCCAGCTTCAGCCTGACTAAGGACAGTCACAAGCACTGAAATACTGGAAATACTGGTCCACTAAGATCTCGCATCCAAACTCAAGCTGGGCTGAAACAAATCTCTTGCTGAATTTTTCTGCTAGCTTTCAACCAAGTAACATAGAACTCTAAAAATTTCTCCCACCAGATACCTCCACTAAAGGCAATATTCTAGAGCATCTTCTTKAAGCATCAGAACCATTTTCCCCAGAGTTCAAGGTTTGTGCTTCACACATGCAAACCAAGGCATGTGAGTGCAACGCCAGGCTCTCCACAGCACCAGTGAGGCCCTRAGAAAAGCCACACAAACCAGCTCCTTCTTCCATGTGCTGCCAGCCTGGGCACTGTCAGCACGGAGTGCCAGGCAGAAAGGTTTCATAAATAGCAATGTGAACTTTAGTCTGTCATATGGATATACCAGACAATAAAAAGACGGGTTGTAAAGCAAGCTTTATCATACTGACTTCTCACGTACATATACTTTTCCTTTTTCCTCTCTTTTTCCTTTTTTTCACTAAAAATTAACTCCTGCTGCTCCAGAGCATGCTTTTAAGGATTGCCACGTTCAATTTAAAACAAGCAGTGGAAAAAAGAACTTAGAACCTTAAAAGACTGTTTCCMGTGTGTCCACAGCAGAGTAGAACTCATTACCTGTTTCCTTAAGTCCTGAGCCGATCTATGAAGAGTGTGGTGGTTGTTAGCCATGAGCCCTTTCGTAGAGGAGCCAGTGTTTGTAGTAGGATGGTGATTAGCAGCAGCCTGGTCTTTTCGACTCTCAGCCTTATGTTCGCTGTTCCTCTCCTTCCCTGGGKTGGCCTCTTTGCTTTTGTGTTTCTGAGCAGGTTCTTTCTCCTTCGATGATTTGCTGGACCCATTGAAAACTGAGAAGAGAGAAAATCAGGTTATTAAGGAGAAAAAAAGAAAAGAAAAAGTATGCAAGACCAAACATTTCATTCAAAACATCACCATTTTCTCTGCTCTCAGTGTTGGATATTTAGTGAATGCCTACTTACATCTAAAGTTAAATCAATATAGAAGCACTATTTTGCAAATTTCTTTATATGAACAGATTTACTAAAGTATTTCCTCTGCTTGTTAGCACACATTATCTTTAATATCCAAATTAAAACATACAAGGTATATTACTGTTTTGACTGACCTAAATTTAGAATTATGAGTTTGATTTTTATTTATGACAGTTTTAATCATCTTTTTTTGCTCTTCAGTGAGGGAATTCTAAACATAAGCTAAAAAGAAACAAAAATTATTTTTATATACCAACGTAGAAGAAAGAAAACATTCCATGAAAAAGCGTGTTTTGTTTTCATCAAGATCCAAACTGCTGAATCAAACTGACAGCAGTTTGCCCATAGCAGATAAGCTGCAAATAGAAAAAGGTACTTCTGCAAAGAAAGGAAAATACTAAAACCATTTTGGAACATGTGACAAGAAATAATTCTGGGACCTAAGCTGATCACTGCAGCCTTTTAATGAAGTGAAGGGGTAAGAAAGCATGCAACAGAAACCTTTATTTTTTGTACAATAAATAGTATGCGAAAGCATACAAGCAACTTTAGTTCCTGTCTCTCTGCTGAATTTAGGAGTAGTCACTGCTCTTCTGTTATCAGGGAACATGAAAAGCTGAAGCTAAAACAAACAAAAAAAAAATCACATCATATTTCTCTGTCTGTTAATCAAAAATGTGCTGAATTCGTATCAGCAATGCCCCCTCTTCAGTCGAGCACYTGACAGAGGTTCACAAGGTTTGTGATCCAACATCCACCATGGCAAGCGCACTCCTGCCTTTTGCTCTGATTTTTATCTGCTTTTTTTTGACATGTTTAGGAAAGGATGTAAACAAGAAACTTCGTAAATACTTAACAGCACAACTATTTGAATATCAGTTATTACACACAACATACACATCTGTTTGGGAACAGTAACTAAATGCATTAAGTTACTGTTTTCCTGTGAAGTCAAACTTTTCTTTTGTCACTTAAGGTGATATTCCTACAACATACACCTTCTTATCCAAGTTGTGAAGCTWAGCTGTCTCTACTGATGCCCTGCAGTATCACAGTAGGAGAAGCAGAAAAAGTAGTGATAAAAACTCAACAATCCTGCTGGACAGGAGGAGCAGTTAAGCTGCCTTTGAGTAGACCCTAGCTCCAAACCTTCCCAAGCAGCTATCCACCTTCCTCAACATCTCCAACAGCCAGAAATCCAGCAAACTACTGGCAAATTTTATATTCAAATAATTTATCATATTCAGTCAGTTGTAAGTGTTAAAGCAGATTATGTAAAAAAAAGAAAAAACTGCAATTGCTTTTCCTCCTCCCTTCCCCCTTGCATAAATGGAGTAAGAAGGAGAGAAAAGCTGTCAGCAGCGGAGTCGCCACAAATTTCCCCATGGCTCTGCCACTCCTGAGCTCAGGATCAACTGGAACTGCCCCAGCCAGACACGGATTTCTCAGTGATTTTAGCAAAAATCGCGTAACCCTCYGTGTCTCATTTCCACTGATGGAGCTGATAGTAATTGCCAGCCCCTTTCAGGAAGTTCATGACAATACATTTATCCTCCTTTGTAAGGAGTTCTCACATCAGATGGAAGGCTCTACAGATGCATAAAGCATGACTATTTATTTTTAATAAGACATAGCACAAMCAACCAATGGCAGCTTTGTTAATAGGTATTTTATCATTGTGATATCTTTCTTTGAAGGGAACAAATTATATATACTGATCTGCTCCTACGGAAACATTCAAGTCAGAGAGATTAATTTTCTGTAATCAGTTGCTACTTTAAAAACTGAATAATACTAAAACAGAAAACACAGTCAGAAAGCCAAATTGTGCACTTCTGTGGGTCAAAAAAAAAAAAAGGCATACATGAGACAAGGTATATTTTATATGCAACAGCTCATTAAATTTAAGTGTCGTGGGAACCCTGCCAGTTTTACCCTCTGAGTAATTATCTTTTGTCTTAATTTGTAAGGTTCTTGAAAGGGGGAAGAGAGAAACAAGAGAAAAAATAGATAAGTCTCACAGGAAAAGCTTAAAAAGCTTAAAGTCTGAAAACACAACAAAGGGAGATGTAGATGCAAAACARTTTTTGCCATGCTGTCTCTAGTTAAGCAGTAGATGGTATCAGTTTCTATAAAAATCAGTATTTGTTTCTTCCAGCACCGCGATTACTGTTATATCCAGCTACATGGGTACAAAACCTTTACGCAATAGTAAATTCTGAAAGATTCACAAATATACTATATGAACAACTATCAAAATGTAAACCTGATTAATTACAGAATGCTATCACTAGCCAAGCATTTAAGGGTGGGGGGGCAGACTCTGACACTATGATTTTCCTCCAAACTGACTAAAAATGTTGAAGCAAGTTATTTAGACAACAAATAAGTTATTTAGTACAATACAGGATTAAACTCTGGCCCCAAAAGCTAGTAAGATAGTTCAATGAAAAAATGAACCAACAAAAAAAGACAACTCCCCTCCTTCCCAAAAAAAATTACATTCTTGAAGAGTGACTGATAATGGGTCAGCAACACCCACTTCTCAAAGGAAAGAGAACAAAATAACTCCCCAAAACTCTGCATTAAATATTACTGAGAACAAATCTGATTAAACAATGGAACAATTACTAATTCTTTTGTGTCTTCTTATGCAGCAAATTGCATTCTCCTTCATGTCTGCCAGCTCTTAAACATTTCTGAGGCAATCAGAAAATCAGGGAAGGTGTACATTGTGCTTTACTAATCCCAGACAGCTGTGTTCTAGGACGATCTCCCCTGTTAGAGATAAGTCTGACATGCTAGTATCCAACATTCTGTTCCCAATCACTTTGTTTCCTTGCTAGAGTAGTCAATTAAGGCTTCATCCTTGAAGCAGTAATTTCATTGAAAAATAGAAAGACAAAATCCAAGTTCAACCTACACTAGTGGTGAAACTTGCATTCCTGAAACAGAAATCATGYACTCTTGAATTATGATTATTTTATGCTACCTTAACCAACTCTATTTCCTCAACAGCTTTTTGTTAAAGGTAAGAAGTACTATTAACAAATATTTAAAAGTGTAAGTAAACTATTAGTGTTTAGATACTCCAAACAGAATAAAAGCATATCCTTATACCCATACCCATCTGAATGCTTATTCTCAAAATGCTGTGCCCTCCAAAGTTATCATCATTATTAAACAGAAACAGTAAGAGTCCCACAGTGAAATACTTGTGGGTCTTTAGGTTAGCAGTGATGATCAAATGCAAAGAAACTGAACCACTACATTCAAAACTCACAAGCACTGGGGGTTTTTAAACCACTGATATAATTTGTGGCAGCAGAACAAAACCTTATGGCAGGCATGATCCCCACAGATGCATCACAGTGCTCTCTGCATCAGGRGAACTAAACCCCAGGCACCAATATTCACCCAGGATCCCATACAGGGACTTTGGGGCATCTCATTTGAAACTGTGATAAAAAAATCGCTACACAAACCAATGCAAATTGTGCAAATTATTAGCTGTATTAGGTGTAATAGSTGCAGCTATAATAATGTCTAAAAAAATTTTTGGTCAAGTAAAGCCACAGATGTGCTCAATTACTACAGATTAGCTAAGCATTTACTACAGAACTGACARCGTAGTGGGCGATAAACATAATGTGTTTTCAGCAATTTTCAGAAGTATTCCTACAAATTAATTTGCACACAAACATTTCACARGATACAGCCAGCCAGCCATTCAGAAGCTAATTTATAATATGTACAACAATCAGGCTTTCACTGTGTAAGCAGCAGAATTACTGGACTGGGTTTAGTCACCTATCGACTCCACGGGCAAAGCTTTGTTTCCTAAGCCCTCCTGGAGATTATTTCTGCACCTGATATATTTTATACTTGAGATAACTGGGGGTTTAATATGCAGAATATTGAACCCTTTTGCTGTATTCCAGTGTCTGGAAGATGAAGGCAGGGACAATATATATATATATATATATATATATATATATATATACACACACATGTGCTGCCTGTTGCAGAGCTTGAACTGCTTAAAGCAAGTGACTGCGCATTCATAAACCATCCAAAAAAAAGAGGGGAGATAGAAGTGAAAGGGAGAAATTTTGTTTTTAGAAGGAGAAAAGGGAACCTTGCCAAAACTGTGAATCGAGCCAGCTATTCCAATGCAAACCTCATGTTGTTACATAGATCATGTTTGGGAAGAGATGTAGTATTAATCAACTTTCTGGCACGAAGTATCTGTTACTATACAAAAACATTCTTGCTCTGGTTTTAATTCAGTTCTAAGTCACTGTGAAAACATTTATGTGGCTCCCAAACTGCATTAAATGACCCAGACAATAATTCTTTTCCCCTCCCTGAGGAACTAAAACAACCTTCTACTTCCATAAAACACAGTATTTWAATACTGCCAATTGTTTTCCTTAAATGTTGGGTATGTTCTGACTTCCATAAATCATTTCCAGAGATAGAAGTTRTCTTCTGAGCCCCCCAACATGCTCTGCCCACTCAGAGTCAGAAGCAAAGGTGTACTTCAGAAGAAAAGGCYAACACCACATCATGTGAAAACGTGACACTGCTGTTTCCACACTTCTCCATCCCTAATGCAGCACCGCTCAGTTTCTCAGTGGACAACACTGCACAGAAATTTCCATAGCCGCATGCCAGCAGAAGTCAAACAGGAAAGCCGTGGCAGAGAGGTGACACTGAGCTCCTTTTTGACACCATCAATAAAACAGCTCAAACCCTGCACGCACAGGAATATATTGGGCCATTGGGAGAAGCGTTATTGGTATGAGACACCGCGCCACCGTTTGCAAAAATTCAATACCAAGTGTCTCGTCTCAGCACAAATTCATTACTCTCACCTAACCACTACGACACAAACAACATCACAAGGGTCACTCACTAAGCAGCAAGTCCGTACAAGAAGTGTCTGTCTGTTAGCACGAGTCTCGCACCAGGATAACAATTCCAGTTTTTTGAGCAACTTCCAGCTCCCCTATTCTTCTCCACAGGTCATACAACTAGCTACTGAAAATCCACAAATCCCCAAATGTGTTGTGTCTGATTTGCATATTTAAATATGCAAATTACTGCAAAACGGGTAATTTCCGTGTTACATATTTTTGCAGAGAAATTAAATGTGCAAAAATGTTTATTGCAACAATTACTGGTACCATGGTCTTTCAACAAAGGCTGTAAATCATCAAAATAATTGCCTACCCATTAACTGTTGTAGCACTCTGCCTGAAATTCTCTTATTCTGCAAAAARTATTTTTCTTCTAAATGTTTACCTCTTCAGGATTAGTTTCACTAAGAATTATGTACAAGCCTAAGACTCYGTCTCATGTATCCACCCATAAATACCAAATTTAGTTAAAACCAAAACTAAATAAAGAACWGCATCCATAAAAAAGCATTTTCTCACGACACATTACACAAACAGTRATGTATGTAAAAGATGTGCTATTCAAGCCTAAGATATAGAAAGGCTGCATTAAAACATACCCTGAAATAAGAAAAAAGCTATCTACGATCTTTTCCTGCATCATCTTTGTACTACACATGTAAGGAAATTACTCTGCTTAATTACCCACTGCAAATTGAGAAGTGCAATGTTCTTCTGTGTTTCTGGTAAGCGAGTACGACAGCACTGAAGCAGAGTGTAGTATTTCTGGCAGTGCTTGCTTACTATGCACTACTGCCAGGTCTGTTTTGAAATTCGAGCCCCAAGAGAAAAAAAAGCATCTATACAATTTTCTCTCCTGCTCATTTCAGGCAAAAGGCATGCAGAGCAGTTTTTATCTCATCATGTTAACAAAACACAGCATGAACCAAGTAACCATTTCTGACCCTGTAGGTTTGCTGGCACACTGGAGCTGGTTTGCTCCAGCTAAGGACACCAGACTCGCCCTTCGTGAAGAAATCTGGTTACAAACAAGGATGGCTAATTCTGTTTTCCTAAAAGAAAATTAGAACTTAATGGTCTATCTTGGGCATCCAGAGACAAACAGGGCACTTCCAGGTATGATGGCCCAGATGTGCAAGCCTCTCCACCTTTAGGCTGCTGTGCTGCTGTGAGAAAATACCTAATTCTCCAATCATTCTTCCTGAGAAAATTGGCCAATCTTTATTAGAGGAACTGCAGCCTCCTGCCTGCAATGCCAAAGCTGTCTACACAACTGTATCTTCATATGCTGTTCCTCTGAGGCACTTTTCCAGCCCACAAGCCCTTTCAAGTAGAGTAATGCCTGTCCTCCTTTGCTCCTGAGATGGGACCGATAACCCAACAAGTCCCYAGCTCCATCTCCCAGCTCTCTATCACAGCCTGCCTAGCAAAACACTTGGCACCTGCAAACATTTTTCTTCAGGAGCGTGCAGAAAAAACCTTCCATTGTGCCACAGAAAGAAATCAAACTAGGATTTATTTAGTTGTAAGGAATTCAAAGATTTAGTTTTAAAGGAACAGAGACCTAAGCCTACTCTCTTACCTACAACTTGGAATTTCCTCCGAGCAGCAGGGACATGCAATTTAGATCTGATAYCCCCCTGGAAAGACTTGCACATGCCCTTTTACACACTGCCATGAATGTGGGGGATAAACACTTCTCCTGCCAAACATTTCACTTGGCTCTTTTACAGCTGTATGTGTGTGCAGCACAGCAGTACTATGGAAGGAGGGTGAAAAGGCACAGGTAACAATGTGATGCTTTAAATGTGTCTCTGTAAGCAATAAGGTTGGACTGTGACAAGTCAGTAAAGCTAATTACTTCATCTTGTGCAGCAAGCTATGCCACGTGCTATACGTGCTCCCCATTCACACTCAGGCGTTCTCAATTGAGTTAGCTGCCCAAAAGGTGGCTCAACAGCCTCAGTTGTAACAAACAGTTTGGTGTGCAACCTTAATAATGCCCCATATTGGCATCAGAAGGGGATATTGACAAATGACTTCGCCCAGAAAATTTGTTCTGGCCCCCATTGAGTAGAAAGCAATCATTTGACACTGTCTAATGACATTAATCAAGCTCTGAACCTTTGTTGTTGTATGTCATAGCAAATGCTTAGCATTTTCAAGTCCAAAGTGCTTGACTACACATTGTATATTAAAAACAAAAGACTTTAATTCATTAAAAATAGACTCTCACGCTAGATTAAGTTCATTTGCTGCACCCGTCCCTGGTCTGCCTTTGTGTGTGGTCTCATTTAAAACAGACACACATGAACCAGAACCTACTTTATTCACATGAAACAAAAGTACTATTGGCTGTCAACCAACATAACAGACACTGAAGAATGGGAATACCCCTGGGTAAGGAAATTTTAATTTAAAAAAAAAAAAAAGAAATTACAGTGATGAAGAAGAAGCAGCTGCCTTCTCTGGGAATTCCTGTTTCTTCACCTTTGTCAAAACATCTCACATTGACTCCTATGTATTTTGTAAAGGTCTTCTGCAGCTCTATTAAGGCAGCAGCTTCATTTACACTCTCTCTGATCTATATTGATAAAGATTATGAAGCCATTATAAGGCTCATTATGTCTGCCTTTACCTACCCCCAATTAAGATTTCAGGTGTCTCCAGTTCTGAGCTAATTTCAAAGTGGCTGCCATCTGGGACATTCTCAAGGAACACTATCAGCTCCTTTTGCAGTGATACATCATATTTAAAATTCTAAGGAAGCAGTTTTGTTATGTGCAGCCTCATTTTCCATACGTAGAGTTTTGTGCCTTTTATTTTGGGGGGATTATTTAGAAATCAATCTTAAGTGCCAAGTTTTGATCTATGCCTGGTAAGGCATTAAAGCTCTGGTCACAGCAGACAGTTGAAATGCTATTAGGCATAACATCCCCTTGCAATTATCCACAAATCATTCACAAAAAGTGAGTTTTTGAGCTTGGGTRTGCAATAAAAACAGATTCAGACGCAGTCATGAGAAAAAAAAATTGGCATATGTAACAAAGGAACCCTTTATAGAAAACTCTCTTTTGAAAGGCAGATATGAGGATCAGCCCAGTGAAGTAATTGGGATCTACTAATCTCTTCTTTGGAGCAAGGTAGCATGAAGGAACAAAGAGAGCAGGCACAGGTCACCTCTCAAAAAGTGCACTCTAAAAAAGACCTTCTTCTCAGTCATCCTACTAARAGAAGAGCTGAAGGGGCAGTCACCAGAAAGAAAGATTCTCATGAAAAACTAATAGTGAGGAAGGGAACAGAGAGAACAGGCTACTTTTTGAAATTATGTCAGGCAGAGATGGCACAGAGTTGTTATGATACAAGAGCTCATGCTGGAGCGAGAACCACATCACACAGGATGCTGGCAGTGGAGAATTACAGCAGGCTCAAGGAATTTTCATCRTGGCTTTTAAAATTTTCCATTTTATGCTAGGTAATGTTGCAATTATGGATCAATTTTTCAAGATATGGCACAAGGACATTGTGATGMAACTACTGTGCACTTAGTGCATTTTTTGCTGATTTGCAGAGAAATAACTGACTTGGAAAAGTTTCTTCCATAAAATCTTTCAATCAACAACATGAAGGCAGTATCAACCTACTGCAAGTGTGGTCTCAATACCACATGAGAGAAAGTAAGTGTTGCCCCTGACATGTGTTTTGATAACAGTTATGAAAGCTTATATTTAACTTCGATAAAAAAAAAATCATTCTAAATTAAACATCAGTCTCAAAAAGCCAGAGAGACTGACTGTGTTGTCTACACATGTTTCTGTATGTGTATGTGTGTGTGGTGTGTGTGTGTGTGTGTGTGTGTGTGTGTACACATATTTACATTGCACAGAATCACAAGATTGTTTAGGCTGGAAAAGACCTCTGAGATCATTGAATCAAACCATAAACCTAACATAACCAAGTCCACCACCAAACCATGTCMCTAACTGCCGCATCTACATGACTTTTAAATACMTSCAGGGATAGTGACTCAACTACTGGGCAGCCTTGTCAACCCTTTCAAGKAAGAAATTCTTCCTAATATCCAACCTAAACCTTTCCTGGTGTGACTTGAGGCCATTTCCTCTGGTCCAATTGCTTGTGACTTGCAGAAGAGACTGACCCCCACTGCAGTATATACMTATATACACATGTGTAAGTGTGTGTGTGTAATTCCAGCCCTGCAGTAGCTCTGTCACAGAGAGAGTTCAGATTATGGTGAGAAACAGGTTAAAGCACAGGATGCTAACACTAATTTTACTCCACCACTTTTTCACTCAGATCAAAAAGAACAGACAAGGACTGAGCACATTCAGCTCATTAATTTACTTCCTAGGAGAACAGGAGAGCAGGAGAACAGTGCTACTTAGGACCTACCTTGCCCATTTGGTACATGTTTATGCGTTTTTCCTTTCCTAGGGGTTGACTGGCATGATGATGAAGCATTGTTTGTGGCTGTTTTTGTGTCCTCTGTCTCCTCCTCCTCCTCTTCTTCATCCTCATCATCCTGAGAGCTTCCAAAATATACCATGTTGCTGGGCAGGGCTGGAGAACCTGATCATGATAAAGAAATGGCTCATTAGCATCATTGCATTCACTTACTGCACTCCACATATTGATCATAACCTACTTGGGCATCATGCATAGCAAGGGGTGATCRGGCCTCGGAGCTGAGAGGTCACAGTGCATGACTAACTAGAGGGATTTATTTATTAGTTTGTAGCAACAGGATACACATGTGCTTGAAAAGYACATTCTATTCATACTTCAGACAATCAGTCTTGCTACAAGTGTTAATTAATAGCTCTGTGTATTCAGGAAAGGACTAATGCACATGCTTAGTTTCAACTGCGTGCTCAAGTGCCTTGCTGAAGTCTTAACACTCAACTAGAAGCTCACAGCTTTTCCAAACATAAGAAAAAAGAGCAAAAATCTAATCTGCACCACGGTGATATTTTTAAGTTATCATTGCAATAAAACATTAACATTTAAACTTCACAATGCTTTGTGGGTCTCAACAATATTGTGTACAACGTTTTGCAATATTCTGCAGTAAGAAATAAAGAGAAAAGCCAATACATTGAGATGCTTATTTGCCTAGCAGATTCCTGGGAAGGAAGGAAAAAAAAAAAAAAAGAAAGGCCTTCTGATTCCCTGTGTGCTCCTCCTATTGCTTACTATATGTAGATTACTTCCCACAACACTCACATGGTTTTTAGATTTACAAATACTGCTGACAACTAATGGGCACTTTCCCATGTGCCCAATATCACTTCCTACTTCAAAATGAATCTCCTGTCTATCTCCTGGAAGGACAGGTGCCCTGGAAGCCTGCYACTTATTCCCAAAGAAAAATTTTTGGGAAAAAAATATAGTCAACACACTTGGATAATAGCAGCTCATCACTTCAATTATTTTCCTGCAGCTAAAAAAAAACCAAACCGAAAAAGAAAACTGGGCTAGAGACCAACACAAGGTAGTAGCCATTTGGCTGGTGCTTCCTTAGGAAGCACTTCTGCCTTCAAGCTCTTGAGAACTGCAGTTYTGTGTTTTGTTTGGTTTTGAGCTGTTGGTGTTGCCATTGCCAACAACGAACTAAAGCTTATTGCATATTTTCTGCTTCCACCAGGTTTGTACAAAATACTCTAAACTATAAAAATCACTTTTAAATGAATGAATTACCAAAACATGGCACAAAAAATTGGGATAGGCTGTTTCTGTGATGAATCATACTTTCCTAGGTATACTGGTTTTGATTGGGATGGAGTTAATTTTCTTCATAGCAGCTGGAATGGGGCTATGTTTTGGATTTGTGCTGGAAACRCGGTTTGTAACACTGGGACGTTTTAGCCATTGCTGACCAGTGCTTGCACTGTGTCAAGCATTTTTTGCCCCCATTTTTCATGCTGCTCTGCCAGCAAACAGAARCCCTCCTTGTGTCCTAGGGTGCACAAGGAGCTGGAAGGGGACAGAACCAGAACAACTGGCCGAAAGGATATTCCAGACCACAGGACACTGTTCTCAGCAATAAGAGCTGGGGGAAGRAGGAGGAAGGTGGGGACATTCAGAATTACAGCATTAGTATTCCCAAGTAACCATTTTATGTGCATGGGGATGGCTGAACACCTGCCTGCCAACAGCGAGTAGCAAATGARTTCCTTGTTTTGCTTTGCTTGYAGCTTTGCTTTGCCTATTAAACTGTCTTYATCCCAATCCAYGAGTTTTCTTACTTTGACCCTTACAATTCTCTCCTCCATCCCATTGAGGGCTTAGGCTCCACCTGTGAATACCTTTGCTCCTGGTCTCTGTTACGGCCCCTTTGGAACTGTGGCTGCCCTGGGGAGGAGCAGAGAGAAATTCCTGACCAGCATCCTCTGCTCTGCATGAGTGTTAGCCCTGGGACAGCCAGGTGAAACACTACAGCAGCATCAAGAGCATGATGATTCTTCCCCCTTAAACAATGTATTATTCCATCCAATTTAGACATAAATGGAAGGATACATATGGTTATCCTAGGGGAAAAGTCTTTTGCATGCCACAGCTTTCGTGTTTATCTAGACTAATGATCAAATTAAGACTGCTGACATATTTCACCGCATGGAAGCTGTAGTAACTTACAGAAACAAAAAATCTTCACATTTTTTTGCAAGCCCRGAACTTTCTGGCACACTCTAAGCAATCACACATAGAAGGTAAGAGGTGTTGAGAGGCATATTAATTCTTCTGCTCAGAAGGGAGTTCTAAGTCTCAACAGCAACTAACTAGAAGACTCTAAAACAGTTCCTCTAGGACACTGCTGCCTCAAAAACAAATTGTTTTTTTTTCTTCCATCTAGGTACCCAAGTTTGTCATATGGATTCAGAAACTGGATGCAAGTGCATCAGTTCTTACCAGAATCTGAAGTCTGACACCATTTGACAGCATTGTGCATTGACAAATGATGGCGTAAAAGAACCTTACTGTTAGGAACCCTCAAAATAAGATTCAAACACAGACTGAAACCTCCCTATTATAATTAGAGAAACAGTCAGAAAATTTATCCTTCTGGGACACTAAACTAGGAGTTGAGATGTACTGTCTGTTCTCTGAGCTTCATCTTCCTCAGAACGCCACATCTCTGAGCTTTTTTGGCAGCTGCTTTCAACAGCACCCAGCAAAAATGTATCATCTGCAATGCAAATGTTGTCATTACAACAGCAACATTTCTTTTTCTTYTTAAAGCACAGAATAAAATACAGTACTGTGTAATTTTGTTTAGAAAGGTGGGAGAATCTTACCGAAGTCCGAGAGCAGACAAAAACTTCACCTAACTCCTGGTACTCAATCACTGCAATCTCAGTGCATAAATCTTCTGTCAGAATGACACTTTTTAATTCTTTCCAATCGAGAACTATGAAAACRATGGTAAACTGCATTCCTGGGTCAGCTGGGACTGTTCAGGAAGTACACTTCCAGAGAAATTAGACTAGAACATCCAATAACACAGGAGAGTCCTGCTAACCCTTACTTTATTGATCTAAGTGCTCTGCAATATGAGACTATGGAGAAAAGCTGGCACTCAGTCTGGGTCTCCCCCTGTCCTTCCCACCAGCTTTTCCTGCATGTTTATTAAACTTGACTTGCCAAACAGAAAGAAAGAAAAGTAAGTCTGGTCTTGCACATTTTTGTTCTGTTTAAGCCTTGTTATAGATGGAAGACACTGAAATAAATTCAAAAGCTCTGAGTTTTCTTGCTTCATTTTTATGTAAGAAYTATTTTTATCCTCATCTTTTATAAYACTACTTCAGTTCTAGAATAGCSTCAAATAATTTGTTCACAACTATGYGTTGAACTGCYTAAAACCACCTTCACTTTAASMCTATGTAGCTTAACATGTCCAAAAGGCTGAGAAAACAYTGGTTTAAAACATTGAAACAGGCTGCCCRAGCTCAAGATACTGCAAGTTCCCTTTATGAGCAAACTGAAAAGAAGACATGCTGGTGTACACTGTGATTTCAGTCAGGCTAGAAGAATGACAATTATGTTTATTAGACAACACCTAATGTGTGAGCCGTTTATGTGCACTGCTGAAATAATATTCAGATGTCTCATGACTGAAGAAATAATGAAACTCCTACCAATGAAACTGCACTGTGAAGAGCAGAAGCTTTGCAATTATTCACCTTCTTTAATATTGTGTAATAACAATTCCTATCCTAAATATCAGTCATTCTCTCTGAGATCAGATCTGAGACAGGGATGTGTATATGATACCCCAGCCTAGCTCTACAGGGGACCCTATTTGTTACTCAAAGCTACTGATTTATAAAAACRATACAGAGCAGCTTACTGTAGCCATGAACATTCAAGATCATTGGAAATGTGCGCTCAAGAGCTGGTTTGTTTTCACCAACTTTGTATTTTGTTCCTCAGAAATCTGGCTAGTCTTCACTGGTGGTTTTCCTTACAGATTGTTTAGAGTTGTTCTGTGGTTACTCCATGTGTAACAGGTATTTACCATGAAAACTATGTATGACAGCAAGATGAAAAAGTCCAAAATGGCACAAGAGTAAGGGAAACTGTAGGTTCACCAGATGCATCTGCACACACACATTCACAGAACACACAGTTGTAGGGGCTTCCTTGATATGGGACATTTACGGACCACTATTTTGCATGTTTTTGTCTCTCCTGGGACACACTCAGCAACAGAAACCATGGGGCAGCTAACCATGGACTCAGAAACCACGAGCCATCATCCCTCCTCTTCCTCTTGCTCTCCCCAGCAGCAAGGTGKGATTCTCAAAGCCTACCAAGGACAATCTAAAGAGTGACACTGGAGTTAGTAACAAACAGCAAAAGAGTTTGCTGGAATTAACAACAGAAGAGCTGCAATGCTGYGGATAAAGGGCAACATCTGTGCCTGGGAGGTGGTGCCTGTCACATCTCAGCACTCTCGGTATACAATTCCCCCTTCCTCGCTTTCCTTCCCCAAGAAAACAGCAGAAAAATCTGGGAGAAAGTTACGAGAGCCTGTGGCTGTATTGAATTTTACAAGTCTCCTTCTGTGCCGGGAGCCCCCAGGTGGAGCAGGCAGCTGCTACCAGGGGCACTGGAGTGGAGGAAGCGGGAGAGCAGGGARCAGCCCTCCACCCTGAGAAACCCAYCCTGCCATGCAGCCCAGCAGCAGGTGCCTGAAAAGCCTGCTCGCTCAGCAAATTTCACCCTAGAAATTAAATTTGACTTCTCAACATTCATTTAGAAGACGTTTCATGCAAGGAACCATCCAGATTGTTGGTGGCTGTGCTGACATTTTTCTCAGCATCAAAAATGGCCTACAGAACATCTACCTTCATCTGGCCTCTTCTTATTATACCTGTGCCACCACCTCAACTGTGGCAGTATAATTTTTTTGTGAGGCCATGTGGTGAATCGGATCRGGGAACTGATTCAGATTAAAATCCCAGACTAAGGAAATTAAAGTCTAATAAATGCTGTAACTGTAATGTAATGTTCCAAGCTCTCAAGAAAAGATTTGGAAAATTTCTAAGCACACTTTTTCTTATTGAATGTGC